AGCAGCATCTTCCTCGCCCGGCCCGCCGCCGCTCCCTCCACCGCAGACCCTGACCCTCCTCTCGCAGCCGCCGCCGCCGCCCCTAGGCCAAGCGGGGGCCCAGCTCAAGAAGAAGAGCGGCTTCCAGATCACCAGCGTGACCCCGGCCCAGATTTCCGCCAGCCTGAGCTCCAACAACAGCATCGCCGAGGACACGGAGAGCTACGACGACCTGGACGAGTCGCACACCGAGGACTTCTCCTCCTCCGAGATCTTGGACGTCTCCCTGTCCAGGGCCACCGACTTGGGGGAGCCCGAGCGGAGCTCCTCGGAGGAGACGCTGAATAACTTCCATGAGGTGGAGAGTCCCGGCGCCGTCTCCCCCAACCAGCCTCGCCTCCCTCAGCCGAGAGCCCTGACCAATGGGAGCATCCACCCTCCTCACGGACACCACTATGCCCACCCCCCACATGGGCACCCCCAGGCCTCCTCCCACTCAGGGGCTGGGGGGCCACCGATTTCGGGGGGTTCTCCATCCAGCCCTTCCTTCCGAAGACTGCCCGTCCCTGGAAGTTTGGAGAGCGCGGGGCCCGGTTCTGCAGCAGCGTCCTCCATTGGCACCCTCGCAGCTGCCACGGTGGCTCACTTCCGCACTGGTGGTGCCCCTGGGGTCGCTTCTGCTGGTGGAGCCGGTGCCGGCAGCATGGCCGGTGGGGCAAGTGGCAGAGCACACCAGGTTAGCAAGAACCTCGGTAACCTTGCGAGTGCTGGGAATGGAATGGCTTTGCCTGGTGGGAGCCACCCTGGGAACGTTGCACTCTCAGGCGGGGTTGGCAACGGCACCAGTGCTTCCTCGAATGCCACTGGAAGTGCTGGTCACATAGTTGCAGGGGTGGCGGTGGCGGCAGCTGCAGCATCGGGTCATCTGCAACCTGCAGGCAGCACATCGAGATTTCGCGTTGTGAAATTAGATTCTAGTTCAGAGCCGTTTAAGAAAGGGCGATGGACGTGCACAGAGTTCTACGACAAAGAGAATCCTGGGCCAGTGGCAGAGGGAGCCACCGTGGCTAAAACAGTAGATGTCCTCCTAGAAGTGACCTCAGAAAGGGAAAGTACCAGTGGGAGTTCTGTCAGCAGCACCCTCAGCCACTATACAGAAAGTGTGGGAAGCGGGGAGATGGGGGCCGCTCCTGGGGTGCAACAGCAAGCGTTTCAAGGCATTGGGTCTCAGCAGATGGACTTCAGCAGCGCTGGTGTTCCACCACTGTCGGCACCCGGCCTACCCCAGAGCGTTTCTCAGTCCCAGCTCTCTCAAGTCCAGCTTCATCCTCAAGATGTCAGCTACCCTTCGCAAAAGCAAGGGGTTCCCCCTCCAGCCTCGGCAGTTCCTGCTCCGGTGAACATAGTTGCTGGCCATCAGCCAACTCTGGCATCACAACAGCTGCCTTTCACCCCGCCAGCCCAACCAGTCCCCACTGTTCCAGTTGCTCCACAGCCGCAACAGTTATCTTTTGGGCAGGGGCAAGCTCAGCACCCAACAGCTCTGCCACCAATGTCTATGCAGATGCCTCCAGGGCACGTGAAGCCAGGAACCCAAGCCCCGGTGCCGGACTACAGCCAACAGCCGCAGCAGCAGCAGATGCTTCCAGCTTCGGCTTCTTCTCTGCAGCCTGGGACTGCAGTAGTAGGAACCGGGTCGACGGTGCCCATCGCCCAGCCTCCAAATACACAGCTTCCTGTCCAAGCACACATTGCTGTGGCCCCTTCTCAGCCTGTTGCTCAGGTCCAACCCACAATTCCCGCCGTGGGAGCTCCTGCTCCCATGATGAACGTTGGACAACAAGGAAGTGTAGCTCCTGTGGCCCAGCCACCGTCGGTTGCAAATCAGATTGGTCCTTCGGTGATGCCCCAAAGTGCTGCTGCTGCTGCTGCTGCTCCTCCTCCACCCTCCCAAGCAGCTCCCTCAGTTCCGGCAGGGATCGTTCATCCAGGGTCCCAAGGCGCCCCACCGGGCCTTTCTCGGCCTTTGGGTATTGCACCACAGAGTAGTTTGATACCAATGCAAACAGCAGATCCTCTGGTTCAAGGAATGACCCAGTTGCCTCCTGTCAGCCCAATACCTTCTGTTAGTGCTACTCCTGTGCCATGCCATTCAGCTGCAAGTGGGCCCCCTGCGCCTATGAGCCTGGCTCCTTCCAAGAACCTGGCACAGCCTTCAAGTATGCAAAATGGGAACTTGGTCCAAAACGTGTCTCAACCTGCCTTGATTTCCACTAGCATCAATTTGCCTGGAGCCCCCAGCGTGCCACTGAACTCTTCCCAATTCTCTGTGCAGTCCCTCGCTCAGTCAATTACAACCCGAACTGAAGATACCAAGCGCCCTACAGAATCCACCTTGGTTGGCTTAACCCAGCCTTCTGGTGCTGAAGGCGGTGTTGGCGCCTCCTCAGTCCTAGCAGATGGGAGCACTGTCTCCTCTCTTTTCCCCCTGAAGGTACTTCCGCTGGCATCTCTCGATGGTGAGGAAGACAGGTAAGATAATCTCAAAGGGAAACGTAAGATGGACTTATGTGATTTATTCAGTCCTGGCCAAGTACCAGCTTTCTAATGAATGCCTTGGATGCTAACAAGAATGAAGTTTGTGCATAGTGGACAAAAGAATCTCTGCAAAAAGGCTTGATTGCCCTTTTGCAGTAGTTCCAAAAGTGGAAGGGGTCTTAGGGAGACCTTCAAACATAAGCTTGGGGGTCAGATTATCTTTTTTTATGCATAAGATACTCAAGAACTGCAGTGTTCAGAGTACATTGGTCCAAATTGGGTCTGCTTCCATATTTAGAATCCGACCAAAGAATCCACAGAAGCCTTCACTCTTTAGACATTTCTGCTTTTCTCATTAGAGGTGAAAGGTGGAGTGGGAATGAATTGGGAAGGACTGAGACTTGAACCATTCCTAATTCAGAATTTGCCCATCAACCATATGAAGGCAACATTATTAGACCAACCCTATATCCATGAACGTCTGCATGTTTTCAGGATCTTGAGATTCTTTTGTCAGGCAAGATTCTGCAGAAATGCAGATTAGAGAAAGGCTGATTTAAGAAGAAAGTTGTATGGTCAGAATATCAGAATCAAAGATGAGAGGAGATTTTTGGCATTAACATTAAGTTGGGGTGCGTTGATTTAAGGTTGCACCCAAAAGAAACCATGGCAGAAGTATGGAACCCAGTTGTTATTTCCATCCTTAGGTAAAACATGTAGTTTTGTGGGGGGGGGGGGGGAAGAAGAGAAGTCAAGGAGAATTAATGAGTTAGCTTGTTCTTTGTGATCTTTGAATTGATTTTTATGCAGACAGCTTCCAGCGCTGTTAGTTAGCATGGCCGTTGCTGGGGGATGTTGGGAATTGTAGTTCAGCCTCTGGAGGCTACAGATTGTCTACCTTTGGTTTCAGCATTTTTCTTGTGGCAAGCACGTTCAGTATGGGTGGATTCATTCATTTGTGAATCCTTTTGTTCTGTAACATTAGGATGTTGATTTATTTTTAGCTGTTGCTTATTCTCTTCCTTTTACACAGAAGCCAGTGGCCTATGAGATGTGAAATCTCTTTGCACTATTATTATTATCATCACTACCCCACCTTTTCTCTGAGCTCAGTGCAGCTTAGCTGAAAGTCTCCCTCTTATCCTTAAAACAACACCCCTGTGTGGTAGGTTGGACCAAGAGAGAATGCCTGTCTCTGATACCCAGTGAGGTTCTAGGGAAGAAGGTGGCTTGAACCTGGATCTCCCCAGTCTGATTCCAGCATCTTAGTCATAATATTACACCGATTCTCTGGGCTTAACCTAATCTCCAATAGGGATGTGCAGCTATTCAGATCTGAAGCAGAAAAGGTACTTTGGAGAGGATATGGGTGTGTTTACTGCATTGTCAATGCGTCTCATGCTGAGGATTTTAATCCCAAGACATCTGGAAATCACCAGGTTGGGTAGGGTTGATTTAAATCTGTACTTCACTGAATAGCCTTTGTGACAGCTGTGCAACTCATCAAGGTTCCTAGTGAAGGTACTTCACAATATGAAATACATTTGCAAATTTGCACCTGTGATATCCAAGACTGATTCAGTCTGGAACAAAAAGGTCTGCAGGTTCTTGTTGATGGAAATGTACAGTGAACCTGTTATGTCAGAGATGAGAAAGCATAGCCAGATTGCTACTGCATTATTTTTTCATTTCCTTCATCCAACCCAGTTTTCGTTATAAAGACTTCAGGTGCTCAGTGCGGTCCCAGAAGTAAGGTGAAATAAAACAGCTGTTAGACTGTGTTGTTCATGAAGCAGTTTCAGAGGCTGCTCTGTACAAATCTTCACCTCTACACCTTTGCACAGACCTAGTATATGCATAATCAGTGAGGTATCTTAACCCAAAATTCTAAGACGGCTTGGTAAGATTCATTGTGGAGCAGATATTGAGCACTGATTTTACATTTCCATTCTATTTTCTCCTCCCATCCAAGGAGTTCAGTCAAAATGAGTTGGGCCACTCTCCCTCCTGGGTGATAAAAAGGTTGAAGCAATGTTGCATATCTCCTTCATCCAAGTGTATTCCAGGTCTCTTTGTATGATTCCAGTTGCAAATGATCAAGAGGAATCGAAAGTACATTGGAAGAGGCTGCAGTGTCATTTTGGCAAAAAATCTGACTCCTTTTCGAGTTAGTCATACTTGAGAAGTATGAATTTTCTCTGATAGTGACTGCAATTTGTGGTGTAAGCATGAAGTGAGCTGTTAATGGTATTGTCAAGAAGATTGCTCTTTAGGTGTTTTGCTGATCAACCTGCTGATTATTTTTCTACTTTCCAATTCTGCCAAGTAGAATAACACAATTTTGCTATCCTGTGCTTGGTAAAGCAAATAAACACAGTGTGGTTCTGTAATACCTTTGATATGAAATTTGGAAGAACAGTGGGATGTTTAAGCAATTGTAAATCAGAGCATATTCTGTGCAAAATATCTACCACAGCTCTCTGGTGACTAACAGTGGACTCTAATATCTTATGGAGGTTCTCCATCTTTGGAAGTTTTTAAGAAGAAGCTGGAGAGCCACCTCAAGGGTGTTGAATTGGTTTTCCTGCACATTGCAGAGGGTTAGATGAGCTGATCCTTGAGGTTCTTTCCAACTCTACAATTCTGATTCTACCTTAACTGAGCAGGGTTGTGTGGCTTGATTTTAAATTACTTGTGACTTTCTACTTCTGAAGTAGTGCAATGAAACCAAATTAGTTGGTAATTCTGCTTGTGAGAGAAAGAGAAAAAAACTAAATTATTTCTAGGAGTGTTGTTGTATGACTATATTAACCTAAATATGCTTGGAGAATAATTGAAGTTAAAAATGCAACCCTGACAATAACATTTTGTAGCAGTTTATGTCAGTTGATTAGGTTCTTCCCCAAGTGGATTAAAAAGTAGCTAATTCAAATCGAATGAAAGGAGGGAAAATAATCTGAAAGTTTTGGTTACCTTAGGTCAATGATATAAAAACTGCAAAGCTCCAGACTTTGCAAATAATTATCAAACTTTGTAACACTGTTTCAGACAAGCTGCAAGGGTTTTGACAAACCTGTGAAACATACTTTCACACAAATTTTGTAAAATAAACTTCCTGCTTGTTACAATGAAGATGGATATGAAGGACTTCGATCTCCTTTCTGTTGGAAGAATCCAGAGCACTGCTAATCTCTCTGTATTACAAAATTTTAATTTTCAGATACATCTCAAGATTCTGTTTTCATTTTACTGAGAAATGAATGGTAGCTGAATCCTTTTCTGGTGTACCACTTCACCCGTAATAGCTATGCTTAATTAAATTGTTGAATAAGCTACAATTGATCAGGTTCATGTATGCTGTGGCAGAGTGGATTAATTGGATTTTACTAAGTCTGAACCAAACAAATCACATGGTAGATTTGTGTAGTGTGTGAATCATGTCAGTAGGATGAGAATAAGAAACAAGCTATCTGGCTATAATTTTATAAACCAGAAAATTGGGAAATAACTCTTGGATTATTATATTGGGTTATTGATGCATTTGATGTATTGAGTAAAGTATTTCTTATACGGTATCAAAGGAAAAGGTTGCAGTTTTACCAAAGTCAATATGATCTTAGTTTTTTATCATCTTCAGCTATCCTTATTGTAGATTTACACTTAATGTTTGTTAAATTGTATCAGTGTAGAGTTATTTTTTGTTTCCAATGATTTCCATAAAGTTTTTTTTAAAAATAGAGGTTTCTTAATCACCTGGGTGATGGAGAATATTTTCTTGAAATATTTTCTTGAACTGAAGAAAGGTGTTCTAGTTTGTATGTAACCTATGTAAACCTGGGCCCCAGAGGCATGAATATTAATACATCCTTTTATAGTTTGGGTTGGCCTATACCAGTTAGTCATACTGCTGAAATTCCTGGCAAAATCACCCTGTTTTGGTGATGTAGCTTTTTTTAATAAAATGAGGAGTGAGATGGGCTTAATCTACCCTCTTTGCCCTTTAATTCTCTCTCAATCATACAAAAATAGTTACCCCTTCAGGGCAATATTAAAGAGATAAGAGGAAAATCAGATTTTTTTTCATGTACTGAGTTAACTGAGTCCAGTTTACTTTTTTGCCTTGAACTTGTAAAAAACTTTATGCAACATGTTACCTGCACTGATCCACTGGAGCATAAAGATCAGTGGATGTTTTTATTTCTGTTTGTTTCAGTTCCTGCAATAAGTTTTCAATATTTTAAGGAACCGTTTTTAGGTAAAGTGACAAAATAGGAATGATCATAGAATGATTTTTGTTCAGCATTCAGCATTCAAACCAGTCTGTAGCACAGGTGTCCCAATTCATATTTCATGGAGTTTGGTGGTCTTACTGTGTTGTTCTTACTGATGCCCTTGGTAGTCTCCCACTTTTCTTGACTTGTCATTCAGAAGCATGTAGGCAGAAGACACTTTCATACGTGTTTCAATCTGTCTTTTGGTTTGCTTTTACCTTTCAAAATTGAATCACAATAAGCAGCTTTTAAAAACAGATATACAATTGTGCGTGCGAGGAAAAAATGTGAAATAAAATAATGAATTGAGGGAGAGAACCAGTGTTCCCAAATTTAAGAATTTTACAGATGTTAACAGCATGTAATTTGCTGTACAACAAAATGATTATATGAGCAAACTGGGTCTCTTGGGTATGAATAATTAAGTTGTGGCTCAAATTCATGGGGTGGGAACTTTTGTGACAGGGCATTTTTAAACAGTACATGTGACATTGCTTTAAATAGAAAAAGATATAAAAGTCCTGAAATGCAAGTCCTGAAATGTTTGTTTGGTTTTTGAAACAATTTCTTGTTTTGCACCTTGTAATCAGATGGTAGCTGCATATCAGATGTTGTTCACCTTCAAAGTTTATTATGTTACTGAGGGCGGTCACAGTATGAGAGACCTCTGCTCTGCTCTGCTCCATCTGAATTATTCAGGGATGCCTGGCTGGCATGGGAACC